TTTAAAACCAGTTTATTGTATTTTTACAATAATAAAAATAAATTAGTCATACACAAAAATAGTTGTCATTTTTGCTGAAAGGATTATTTACTCATCTAATTCGCCTCCGCCTCTTTAAGCAGTAATTGACACTGTACGGGTGACTTGGGGTGGATGGGGTATTCTGTGGGTTCCTCGCTCCTGGCTGTGCAGTTGACAACCCAGAGCTCCCACCCAGCAGCGTCCAGCGGGGGCCCTGGAGGCGTGGTCAGAGCAGTGAAGGCATCACCTCCCTTACACCCCTCCCTGCCCTTGCCAGGGGACCCTGCCTCCGTCACAGCTCTAAGCCAGCCTCCCGAACAACTTCCTGCTGGTGATTCTAAGGAATGAGGCAAGACAAAGAGAAGGGATGAAAAAGACCCTCCCAATTCCTTCTTCAAATGTTTGAGGATGAGGAGATGGCAGATTACATGAGCAAATATGATATTCAAGGTGGAAAGGTGGCAATCCAGAGAGACCTGTTTCAGGTATAATCCAAGGGGTAAAAACACCTGAATGAGTCGAAAAGCAGAGTCGTTTATATTCGATCTTAAAACCCAGGAATTTGGCTAATCAGTATGCTAAACTGTAACTATGGACTTGGAATAAGACATCACGTGCAGCAACTTTCCAGGAAGCTGGGTTAGTAGTATCAAATAATTTTACACAAATGTGGATCGAATATGTAAATAAATACCTATTAGATCCCTTTAAAATTAACATATTCTAAATAATAGAACTATTTTGGTGTAGTGACTCATTCTGCCGGTAGAGTTCAGAATACACATTTCCTATAAACATCTTGTATTTACAAAGGACAAAATAATAAGTTATAACAAAGTATATCCTTCCGTCAAACTGAATGGTGGGGATCTGGGGGTCAAGGTGGAAATTACGTAACAGAATGGCTTCTCTCTCACTGAGGCAAGGGGCTCAACGTCTGGAAGATGCTAAGAAAGCTGGCTAGAGAATCCCACCCTGTGGGGGTCACTTTTCCTCAGCAAGATGGCCGTCTCCCACTGTTACCCACCGAATAGAAAGAACCAGGAGTGTGGTTGAGAGGGCAGAGAATGACGCAGCTCCAGCAAAGGCGCAAGAAAGCAAAGTGAGTGGAGAAAGTGAGATGGTAATCAAAGGGTGCTAGTCTAGTCGAGGTTCTGCCCCCATCAAGGTGTGTGACCCTGGGCAGGGAACCAGCCATCGGGACAACTGGTTACTCATCTATGAAGCAGGACCAGACAGGGCAGCTCTGACCAACTGGCTAGTGGTTCTCTGAGGTATGAGGCCATGTTCAGCCCTGGAGAGGGATGCGCCCCTGGGTTCAAAACGGTAGAAATGGGAAGTACGTGTGCCGTGTACTTGCCATCCCAGACCAGGTGAATCACTAGAAGCTGTTCTACTTACAGAGTCACCAAAGTCCAGATTGGAGAGAATCTTAAAAGTCCTGTTGCCCCAGCTGCGTGCTCGAATCCTCCCTTCAGCATCCATGACAGATGGCCATTAAGCCTCTGCTGAGACCTCCAGGGACGGGTCAGTCACCACCAACCACAGAGCGCTCTACCTTCTGAAGGCTCTCGCTTGTAGAAAGGTGGTTCTTCTGTAAGAAGTAAAATGTGTCTCCCTGCAGCTTTAACCTTCTGGTCCTAGGATGGCTCTCCTCCAGGCTAAACATTCTCATGAAGTCCTTTCCACTGCTTCTCAGAGTCTGCGCCCCTCATCAGGATTGGGCGTGCTCATCTGAATGTTGTATGTTACCAATATTCTTTTTAAAGTTTCCAACAATCACAAATACGGTTCACCAACATTTTCTCCTTATGTAGCCTAAATGTCGTATGGTGTATGTGTGTGTGTGTGTGTGTGGTGTGTGTGTGTGGTGTGTGTGTGTGTGGTGTGTGTGTGGTGTGTGTGGTGTGTGTGTGTGTGTGTGGGGTGTGTGTGGGGTGTGTGTGGGGTGTGTGTGTGGTGTGTGTGTGGTGTGTGTGTGGTGTGTGTGTGTGTGTGGTGTGTGTGTGGTGTGTGTGGTGTGTGTGGTGTG